TACCTCTGTGTTATGTACCACTCTGTGTTTCCTGTCTGAGCCAGTCAGTTATCCTGGCATGAGGTTTGTTTCCTATACCATTTTTTTTTTTTTGGGGGGGGGGGCTGTCAATCTTCGACGGGATACCTTGTTAAAGAGATTCCGGAATTCCAGATATATTACGTCTGTTGGGAGGTTCACATCCTAGTTTTCGTATTTATAATTGAAATACTCGAGTATGTTAGCCAGGCTTGATCTTTTGTTGTGTAATTCTTTAGGATTTCATGTTATTTGCTTACTCTTTTTCAGAAAACTGACATTTTCCCAGAATCATAATCTCCATTTTATTTTTAAATATAGTAGTAGTTTCCAGTGTTCGTCTTCTTCAAATGATTTGTTAAATGTTGCGGTAAGTGGGTAAACGATTTCGTAACTACATTCTCTCATGACGTTGGCAGGTATTTCATCAGTCCCGCTTGATTTGTCGATATTCAGCTTCTCCCAGTATTTTATATGTCAAGGCTGCTAATGTCATCAATACTGAGTTTGTCAACGTCAGGCCCTGAAAACAAATGGTGCTGCCTGGGAAGGCCGCTGTCATGTTCAGCTGTAAATACGGACCCGAAGGCTGTGCTGAGTACAGACGCTGTATCCCTACTGTTGCTAGTTTGTTATTCTGCCGTTCTCACTTGCCAGAGGTGCTATCGCCGTCTTTCAAATTCTTGTTTAGGAGTTTTGAGTTTCCTCCTGCCTTCGTATGTAGTTAGTATGCATGGTCTTCAAGGTTGTTGATGAATTCGAATTTCTTATATGCACTGCGTGCGTTTATTACCTATAATCTCAATTAGTTATCCAGTCTTTCTTACACCTTTATGACTTTTAAACTTCCTTGCAAAGTTACTCTTAACTACATTTAATATTATTGCTTTCAATCTGCTCCATATACATCTACGCTATTTGTATTTAGCAGTTCGAATGAGGTTACGTTCCTGATATCCCGGACCATATCATCAAGGTTGGTGCCATGTTCAGTGGTCTTGAACCGAAGTGCTGTTCAGGATGTCAAAGTTTGTGCTTCCTTTGATTGGTTTACCAGTCTCCTCTACCTCGCACGAGCGGTTTAGATCACAATGAGTGGTCAAAATAAGATGATGAATATTGAATATTGTTATTGCCGTGGAGAGAGAGAGAGTTAGTAACTATGACGTATATAAGAAAAAGGGAAAACTGAGAAGGACTCAAGAACTATACTTTAATAGACAGAAAATAAGTGATACCATGATAAACAAACATATTGACAAACACTGAAAGTCATAGATAATACAAGTTTTTGTAATACGAGTCATAGATAAGACATGCGGGAGGCTCGTAAGACATGTGGGAGGCTCGTAAGACATGTGGGAGGCTCGTAAGACATGTGGGAGGCTCGTAAGACATTTGGGAGGCTCGTAAGACATGTGGGAGGCTCGTAAGACATGTGGGAGGCTCGTAAGACATTTGGGAGGCTCGTAAGACATGTGGGAGGCTCGTAAGACATTTGGGAGGCTCGTAAGACATGTGGGAGGCTCGTAAGACATTTGGGAGGCTCGTAAGACATGCGGGAGGCTTGTAAGGCATGTGGGAGCTAGTAAGACATGCGGGAGGCTCGTACGACATGTAGGAGGCTCGTAAGACATGCGGGAGGCTCGTAAGACATGTACGAGGCTCGTAAAACATACGGGAGGCTCGTAAGACATGTGGGAGGCTCGTAAAACGTGTAAGAAAAACGCAAAACGTACCCTGGACGTGGCGAGTCTTTCTACTGTTTCATTGTGCAACATTGAATCTTACCTGCAACATCCTACACAAATCAACCTTTTGAAAAATATAGAAGAATAAAAAATGTCTTTAAATACAGGAAGAAATTTACGAAACTGTACCGGCCGAGATGCCTGAAATATTACAGAAAATTTGTATTAAATATTGGAGCTTAAGCGATGATGGTGTAAGAGGACAAACGGTAAATCCTGATTTGTGTAAACTGTTCTTTCTGTTGCACGTCTGGATTTATGCAAACTATTCTTTCTGGTTTACGTCTGGATTTGTGTAAACTTTTCTTTCTTGTTTACGTCTCGATTTGTGTAAACTATCGTCTCTGCTATGCATTCTGATTTGGTAAATTTGTTAGATTTGAATTCCATCTTCATAGACTCTACCTAGAGGATGTGTCAGGGTTCAACGCCCCCGCGGCCCGGTCTATGACCAGGCCTCCCGGTGGATCAGGACCTAATCAACTAGGCTGTTACTGCTGGTCGCACGTAGTCCAACGTACGAACCACAGCCTGGCTGATCGGGTACTAACTATAGGTATCTGTCCAGCTCCCGCTTGAAGACAGCCAGGGGTCTATTGGTAATTTTGCTTGTGCCTGGTGAGAGGCTAATGAACAGTCTTGGACCCCGGATATTTATTGTATTTTCTCTGAGTGTACCCATGGCACCCCTTCTTTTCGTTGGGGGATGTTTCACCGTCTGCTCAGTCTCTTGCTATAGTAGGGAGTGATTTTTGTGTGCAGATCTGGGACTAGTCCCTCTAGGATTTTCCATGTGTAGATTATGACGTATCTCTCTCGCCTGCGCTCCACTGAGTACACGTCAAGTGACCCCAAACGTTCCAAGTAATTAAGGTGTTTGGCTGAACTTAAATATGTCGTGAAGGTTCTCTGTACATTCCCTAGATCTGCGATTTCACCTGCCTTTAATGGAGCTGTTAGTGTACAGTAGTACTCCAGGAGAGAGAGAACAAGTGATTTAAATAAGGATCATCACTGGCATGGCATCCCTTGTATTAGAACGTTCTCATTATCCATCCTATCATTTTCCTTGCAGATGTGATAGTGACACCAGTAATCCTTGAAGATGAGATCCTCTGACATTAATATTCCCAAGTCTTCACACTAATTTTTCGCTTTATTGTGTGTTTAGAGTTTGTAATATACTCCGTCCCGACTATTATTTCCTCCAGTTCATAATGGAGTAATTAAAATTTGTCCTCATTCAACATCACATCTGATGTCACTTGTTTTTTTTAATTTCCAATTAATATTTTGTTCTTAAATCATAAAATAATGAATTAATCTTCGAATTAAATTTTTATACGCCTGTTTCTCCCTCCAGCGTTACCTTCTACATTTCATTAAGCGTGGAATACTAATCCCACGCTAATCACCCTCGTCAATGAGTGTCATTTCTGCGAAATCCCTCTCGTAGGATAATTCGTTTCGTATATTAATTTCCAGGTAACACCTAATTTCAATCCCTCTCCCCTCATCTGTGAACCCGTAATTAACCAGTTAATTATAGGTGTAGTCTCCCCTCTCCTTCCTCCTCCTCCCATCAGATACAAGACCAGGATCAATTAGCTAATTTCAAATGCTTGCCAGGGTCCTCTCTCGTTCCCTCTCACCTGAGTGGCCTCTGCTAATTAACTAATAACGGCTGTTTTAAATTGGGTATTACTACTAATTCGTCTTAATGAATTATAAATTTTAATAAAGTCTTAATTGAAAAAATGAATAACTAAAAGTGTTTCTCCTGCAATGTCTTCTTCGAAAACTTCTCTAATATATATATATATATATATATATATATATATATATATATATATATATATATATATATATATATATATATATATATATATATAAGGACCCTCATCCTCAGAGAAAAGAATAAACTTGCTTCAGGGAAAACTCAAGGTTCTCCCTGAAGCTGTTTGAGAATTTTCTCCTACCACCCCCTATATTTTATATATACAGTATATATATTTTATTTAAAGACAAAATACATTGATAAAACATTCACAAAAATACGATAGAAAGTAAATATATATATATATATATATATATATATATATTATATATATATATATATATATATATATATATATATATATATATATATATATATGTCGTGCCGAATAAGCAGAACTTGCCATCTTGGCTTAAATAGCAACGCTCATCTTGCCATATAGGACAAATGAAAATTTGTGTATGCAATAATTTCGCCAAAATCATTCTGAACCTAACGAAAAAAATATGTTTCACTGTGTTTATTTAGTATTAAATTATTGTAAACAAATCTAAATATATATTTCGTTGGGTTAGGCTAAAATAAATTGTTTTTGTTATAATAAGGTTAGGTAAGTTTTCTAAGTTCCTTTTCGTGCAAAATTATAAATTTTTACACCAGCATTAATGAAAAAAATATATCTTTAAACGTATAAGAGAAAATTTTAGAGAAGACTTAATTTTAAATGAGTTCTTGCTAATTGACCAGTTTTACATATTCGGCACGACATATATATATATATATATATATATATATATATATTTTATATATATATATATATATATATATATATATATATATATATATATATAATATATATATATATATATATATATATATATATAAACCATAATTATTTATATCTATTTATGTTAACGCAGCTTATAACCAATCCTCAGTAATTTATTGTAGTCTCTCTTAGGCAGATAATACCAAATTACTAATTGCATAACTCTGCTAAGCCCATATAATAATGCTCAGCTTGGCTTAGAGAGAGATGTTGTTAAGCTTGCATTTCTAAGTAAACACGCGTCAAACTACCCAGTAGTAGTACTGGAAGTGTCAGTAGTAGTTGTTGTAGTAGTAGTATTAACAATAGAATTAGTAGTAGTAGTAATATTAACGGTATCAGCAGGCTAGACTGTCATTAGTTCTCAACAGATTACCTCGATGTGGACCGTAATCTCTTCTGCTCTTTGCCTTGCATATAAGTTTAGCCCTATTTTAGTGTCTTTCGTGTTAAAAATTGATGACGAAACTAAACGGTCCAGGACGGACCAAAACGTCGTCTTCCACTCAGTTTGCTGGCCAGGTGGGCACTGTTGCAACCTTGGTGTTGTGGCCCTCATTCTTTGGAGTCTCCCGACTGAGCCAACCCTCTGGTGCTAATGCCTTCGCATTCATGTGTTCTTCAGCGGACTTCGCTCAACCCTTGGGGGTCGTGGATGGGAGTTCTACACGGTGACGAGATCGACTATGTCTTTGGGTTGCCGCTCAACAAGTCCAACGGATACACTGATATCGAAGTGGACCTGTCTCGTCGTATCATGAGCTACTACAAGAAATTCGCAGCCACAGGGTAAGAACGAAGGCAGGAGGGGAGAGAAAGAACGATAGAGAGAGAGAGAGAGAGAGAGAGAGAGAGAGAGAGAGAGAGAGAGAGAGAGAGAGAGAGAGAGAGAGAGAGAGAGAGAGAGAGAGAAAGAGAACATGTATCACTAATATTTCCCTTCGTCACACAGTCGACCTGTGGACCCCAACGTTGAGTGGCCGCTGTACACAAGAGAGCAGCCGTTCTACTTCGAGTGGAATGCCGTCACTAGAGGGATTGGTAAGGGACCCAGGGCCACTGGCTGTGCCTTCTGGAACGAGCTGATGCCCATCTTAAGGGAGAAGCAAGGTAAGTAGTGTGCGTAAAACTGATAAATGTTAACATTAACAGAAGTCATTACTATTATTATTTATTATTATCATTATTATTATATTATTATTATTATTATTATTATTATTATTATTATTATTATTATTATTATTAACAGTAGTAGCAGTAGTAGTAGTAGGATTATTATAACATTATTATTATTATTATTATTATTATTATTATTATTATTATTGTTGTTGTTGTTGTTATTATTATATACGTAAAACACCAAATGTGAGTACGTCAGTCAGTTCAAGGAATAGTGTAGATTCGATCCTCCATCTGCTAATCGAGACATACACACTATCTGTCATTTCTCGCTTAATTGTCTGCTAATATTCAGAGAGAAGGTATATTATGGAGCTTCTGCCTCTTTAACCAAACACGTCAAACAAATCGAATTTCTATAAAAACTTTGAATATGTATATATATATATATATATATATATATATATATATATATATATATATATATATATATATATATATATATATATATATATATATATTATGAATATATACGATTATATTTTCTTAGACTTAATTATCTTTAAAAAATCATTTCCAGTGGAATAGTAAAAATATTCATTTGAATTAGCATTTTTTTGCAGATTTTCGCTTAAACTTAAAAATGTTTAAGGTAATTGCTTAAAAAAATAATTTAGCCTCTCGATTAATAAAAATACATTGATGTGAATTAGCAATGGGAAACAAATTTTGCTTCAAAACTCACTTTGCAATCTAATTTTCCTAAGATTTACATCATACTGTATAACTCACTTATGTATGTCATGTCTAGATTTGTCTAATTTATGTTAGTAATATCTAATATCAGTGAAAACGATAATTTCATTGGTCTTCTGATTAACTTTAGCTGTGCTACACCAACAGCGAATATGTGTTCAGTTTGTGTAGTACAACGATCCTTGTTGATTAAGCCAAGTGGAGAAGATCTGCTGGAAAAGTTCAACATGTACATAGACATGGAAATTAAAGATACAAGTTCCACCTTAGATACTTAACTCATGTATATTTACCTCAGGTACTCATCTCAGGAACTCACCGCAGGCACTTTAAACAGGTACTCACCTCAATTATTCACCACTTTCTGACTGCTGTTTACTTCAAGTGGGATGCCTTCATGCTTGAGAAGGAACGTTCTTGAAACAAGCAATGAAAGCTACTCTCTCTCTTTCCTTCCTCTGGTATAACATAATCACATATTATCATTTCCCCAGGAGCTGTATGACACCTGCGAGTTTGGCGCTTCCCCATGAACGTAACAATAATAATGACTCCTGCAGGAACGATCGTCATGAAACTTACCACTCACTATGATGTTCTGTCTTCCACAGGAGGCGGAATCTGCGAGAGTGAAATGCAGAAGGCACTGAACGAAGGTAGTCCCCTCACACCCAGATCCTTAGGCTGGGTCATCCCTATGGTCTCTCTGCTCTACTGGAACATGCAATAAATATATGAAACGTGTGTATATTTTGTAATTATTACTTTTTGTGTATTTTGAAGATGCGACGGGGCAGTTAATTGTGAAATTCTCAAAACAAGGTGACGGGTAGTTTCCTCTGTCTAAAATGATACAGTAAGTGGACCAATTCGTAAAAGCAGAGAACATACTATGTCTGCTGACCTTTACAAGTGCATGTGAAAATTCTTGAATTGAACGTATTATGTTACACTAAGTCGAGAGCCAAATGTATCGTCATCGCAGTCAACGAAAGTTTCCCTTGGAAACAAAAAGTAAATTTGTTTTGGCGGTCATAAACATCGCGGTCACAGCGAGAGGCAGTGATAACGTTATCTTGTAAATTATAAACTAAAAAAAAAAAAAAGAAGACTTTCAAGAAGTTAAAGTATAAAAGAAAAGAAATTTCATTTTGATGCAAATTGCACAGTGATGTGAATAAGAATGTTAACAAACAGGGGAAACTGTAAGGAACCTGCTGAAGGAAATTCTCAAGAACAGAAGAAAAATGACAAGATTGAGAAACTGGAAGAAACCGCAAGCAACCCGTAAAAAAAAAAATCCACGGAACCAGAGTGGTGACGGTAAAAAATACATGCATAAACCCCTTCAAGATGAAGACAGTGTGAGATGTCAGTATATCAAAAGCAATTAGGCTTACATCCCGTGTTAAGAAAACGGCGCTGCTCTGTCTGGGGTCAAAACATCACAGTGTTATAGGAGCAAGATAAGGATGAAGTCCCTGGATCTATATCTCTTTCCAGGACTTTCTCCAAGCAAAACCTTTTGTTCATAAAATAATTGCTGGAAATACAACGGACCAACCATCGGAAACAAATATACGATTATTTATATATATATATATATATATATATATATATATATATATATATATATATTAACACCCTGAAGGAGGGGTGTTAATGTTGCAGTTTAAAAACTGTAGTGTAAAGCACCCTTCTGGCAAGACAGTGATGGAGTGAATGATGGTGAAAGTTTTTTCTTTTTCGGGCCACCCTGCCTTGGTGGGAATCGGCCGGTGTGATAATAAATAATAAAAAAAAATATATATATATATATACATATATATATATATATATATATATATATATATATATATATATATATATATATATATATATATATATATATATATATATATATATATATATTTAAAAGTTCATTACGAATGGTATACAGCTCAAGTTTGTGTAGTCTTTGGCTTGGCCTGGTGAATACTTTATTTACAAGCGGAAAATGATTAAATAATCGACATGTAGAAAAATCATCTCATAGATCAAATTCCTCTTACTGTTGTACAAAAGACTGATTCCACGCAATGAAATGAAAAGATAAAGTGCAATAAAGCTGGTCGTAGCACACCTTCTGGTTTAACATAATCAAAGAAAAGTGGAGGTGGAGTCATCCCCATCGTGCGATGTTACTGGCGTCAACAAACGTTCCATGTTGTCAGAGACGATCATCTGTGTAGAGTGTCGGTAGCTTCAGTATGTGCAGGTAACCTCAACATAATGACCTACAGAGCTACACTTGTTAAGATGGCGTCAACACACACCTTTTAGCATGACATCAAATAAATCTTTGAGGATGTCGCATTTACACGTCTTTAAGGGTGACGTCAGCACACATCTTTATATAGAACGTCAGCACATACTTGTGAGGATGTGCGTGCACAAGTGGGAGGATCGCATACGAGTACCTGTGAGAATTATATCATCTGCAAACACATCTTAAACACATTTGTAAACAATATCCACTCACACACGTGGATGTTTTACATATAAACCTGTGAATAATACGGAAACACATTAACGATAACACTGGAAACACAGTAACGAAGCTGGAAATGCTTGTCACATGTGGTAGAACTACTGAAAGACGAATAACAAAATAGAAAGCAAACACTAATTCTCTGATTAACTTCATAAAATAAAGTATGAGTGTAAGCAATCAGAATATGCAGAGGTTGATTTGGGGCTGTGACAGATGCAACACACGCGGCGGTGAAGTGAGTGATGGCCAAGAGACAGCAGCTCCACAAGACGTGTGAGAAGTGGCGACAGTGATGTCTCGCAGCTGCAGTAGCGTCCTCGTCACACGTGTGTGTGAGGGTGATTGTGATGTGAAAACATTTGTCAATCTCACACAAAGACATTTTGGAGATCGGTGAAACAGGTCTCTAGTTTAGACTAAAATGTTATAATTGTAAGCCTTGTTGTTTCGAGAACGTTATACACTCAGAAAAAATTGTTCTTAGTGATTTTTTCCTCTATTTTTTTCCTTGTTGCTTAGTTTTGTTTCTCGCCGCCAGCACTAGAGTGATGGACAGGAACAACGAATGACCGTAAAGTCGTTGAGAAAAGATGATTGGGCCAGCCTTTACCTGCAAAGGTTAAACCTTATCTTTCTGTCTCCCCCTCAACCTTACGGAAGGTCAGAAGTCTGAGTAACCACGATGATTTATTACAAAAATCAGTCTGAAAAAAAAGAAGGTTTATGGTGTCAAGTCTTCAGCCAAATACTACGTCGTAAACCTCCAGCCAATCATAGACCATCAGAAACTCACTGCAGAATTCGGCATTAAGTTATGTGGTAACCTGTACCACAACAGAGTAGGCAACACCTGCATCATTACACTTTGCAACCAGTCAGATAGTACGAACACATTGATTTATGAGACGTCTTATTCAGCTGTGAACTTGATTCATAAAACTGTTTATAGAGGCGTTAGATAACATTTGTTTACAATGCTCATTTACATGTTGATAGTATTTATTTTCAAGTAAGAGTATTATAATAATGTTGTATAAAATATATCTTCTATATTATACAAACAAATCTAGGTTTTATTGGGAGCAATAAAACTTTCAGAAAGTTCTGCTCCTTGCAATTCAGGTAGATGTTAACTTATATGGTGGATTGTAGAAATGATGATACTAACGACAATAATAACATTAAAACCTTAATAGCATTCATATATTTTTCTTTCAAATGTGTACCGTGTAATAACTTTTTCGTGTTCTCTAAAGATATCAGCAAAATGTTCATAATATCCTCCCAAGTTATTTTGGTTAATATTGTAACTAGCTGTGGCCACGAGATGATTATTTTTTTCTCCCCTCATCACCCCTGAGGCGTAGCCTGGGTCAGTGTCACCAGGTGACACCAGGAGGGGGAAACCGAGGAATACCTGTAATCACGTGAATTTGGATGGACTCTGCTGTTGTAATCGCCTGTGGGAAATCAACATGTATGTCCTCTCATGCTCCTCCGTGTATCCACCTAACTCTGTGTAGTGGCTTGTAGTCTCCCTCCCCTCTCACTTGGCTTTTAGTTCACGTGTGTGTCCTCTAAGATGATGTACTCTTAGCATCTTATGTATCTTCTAAGTCACATGTGCCCCAAATGTCTTATGTGTACACTACCCCATTTGTGTACGCCACGTTACATATCCCCATTATCGCATATGTACACTATCACATATGTATACTCCAACATGTGCTTTAATATCAAATGTATAAGCTACACACCTAACGTAAGCATATTATTTCTATCATGTGTAAATTAGGTCACATGCGTATACTCTTTCTGATAGGTGCACCACACAAATATGACACATGCTCGCTTGTAGCCTCTTAACCTCATCCTCTAACAGTAGCAACACACGAAGGACCTGATCAGAGTTTAAAATGCTAACAGAATACAGCAACAACATCATTTCCAGATGCATCATTGACAAGGACACATCTCTCAAAACCCTGTTGTCCTTTCTTCTAGCCGCATCATTGTAAATTGTGGGACACGCATCTCAGACTATTGCTTCACTCCGGGTCATCACGTTCCTCTGATACGTTAGCAGTTTATAACAAGGACAAACTAAGTGCATCATTCATCATGTCCATCTAAAAGTATTATGGCTAGTAGACCCACTTAATATTTAGCAGATTCAATACCAGGAGGGATACTCTTCTTGGTACTGGTTGTTGGTCCAATGGTTTTTATCCAGATATCAATTTTCGTAACTCAAAACCATGTTATTGAAGTATCGTCCCTTGTCGCCTCTTCAAAACCGCTATCTCCTTCACATGTACTAAAAATAGGACTCTCTTGTTTACAAGTACATATCAAAGTGTCCTCACATACCCAGGGCATCGATGCACCGCCAGTAGATGCACCATTACGCTAAGATCTTGTGCACAGTAAATACTCTTAAACACCACGCTTGACTTCCCGTCTTTATAAATATTCAGTTTCTCAGCCCCGGTCCTCACCTAGTTATATGGTTGTGTGCATAAAGTGACATATATGTTTCTCTCGTAGTTTTATCGAGTTAAACTTTGTCTCCACTAGTGACTAGCATCAGACAGACACTAGCACCATTATCATCCATTAGTTAGATCACTAGCTGAATAGACCCTAAAACAGTGCCCACACACACACACACACACACACACACACACACACACACACACACACACACACACACACACACACACACACACATACGTATACACACTCACTTGTTATGTCCTTCTGGACACATTAAAAGTCTATCTTAACAATATGATTCATTGTCAGTTCCTATTTCGACATATGTGTGCCTTACTGGCAAGAGTGAGGCACGAATATCTCCGAAACACGACTGACCTCCTTAAATTGTTCTTCACCTTCGTCTCAGGTTGCCACAAGGCAGCTTGTATCGCTATTATGAGCACAGACACAGGTAAACAGAGCAATCCTTCATCGGGGCAACGTTTCGCTCTAGGCAAAGCTTTTCCATTATTTGAAAACTTCCCTTATAGCGAAATGCTGTCCCCATGAAGAGTTTTAAGCAAACTTGGGTCTTCTGAACATATCTGTCAGCGTTACGGCCTTCAGAGCTTGTATCATTCTCCGGGTCACTTTACCAGAGTCACCAACATGTGGGTAATATACAATGTCTTTGGTGCCTCCTACAGAAATAAAATAAATAACACATTCAAAAGAGCCTTTCTTTAACTTAAATTGCCATACATGTTAATATAGGTGAAAATAATGTGCGTGTTATTTTAACTTCAGTGTTATATACATATATATATATATATATATATATATATATATATATATATATATATATATATATATATATATATATATATATATAATATATATATTAACGAGGAAATTATTAGATTTCTATTCTCTGCTTTAATGCCGAGTAATTATACTATATCATTTGAAGATTTTAACAGTTCTGTACACCAAAGTGGATCTCTTACAGAGTCATACTTCTCCCTGTGACTTATTTTCTCATTCAAATGTATATACAGTGAGATTCCGCACCCATATCACATTGACCAGAACTTCCGTTGTATGAGTTTCTGTGAACGCTACAGTCATTGCCTTCGCTTCAAGTATGGAGCCCTG